CCAGTCCCTGGAGAGGTCTCACCTCTCACCAAGTTGCACTCAAGGCCTATTAGGTGAGTCTCTTGTCACCAAAGCACTGTGCACCTTTCTTTCTGGTGATTTTAGGTTGCTTTCTGAACAGGTGATTTTGTGCATGGGCTCTTTAAGAGCCAGTTTTAATGTCTTTGTGAACCAGCTTTTCTGGGGGTACTCCCCAGTGTTTTAGTAGCAGGCAAAGTCAGATATTATGCCACTCGTCTCGATTGTGCTGTGTCCACAAAATGCCCACAGTGGGGGCGCTCCCTGGCTCAGGGCCCCACGCATCCAGGGAGGGCTGCGTACCTGTGGGCTGCTCCCGGGCAGCCGTGAGGCACTGTGGCTTGTGAAGGCAGCATTTTTCCTCTCCAGAAGGGAGTTTCTGCCTCTTCTACCTCAGTTAGGATTGTCCATTGTTGCAGAAGTTCCTCTTATCCAGTTTTCAGTTCTGTCTCAGGGGTAATTTTTCCACGAGTAGTTGTAATTTGGCTGTGTCCGCAGGAGTAGGTGAGTTCAGAATCTGCCTATGCCACCATCTTGACTTCTCAAAAGTAACTATTTTGAAAGACACCACAGCATTCTGTTCTTAACAAAGCCTATCCTCAAGAGAAATTATTTTACCAGAGCCTAAGCTATTAGGAGACTAACTGACCTGGGGGAATGCCAGTCGTCTGTATTCTTTCACAAGGGGGAAGAAAAATACTCAACTTCCGCCCATGCTAGCCATCCTGCCCCACCTAAGAGGGAGAAGAAACTGATAAGTACTTGTGAGCTGCTTGGCCCAGAGACACATACTCACTGAAAGACTGTGACCTAACCATACAAGTATAGACTGCTTCCCTCCATATACTAAAAGGCACAAAACGCAGCTTGAAGAGACAGAGCAAGCATCAGAACCAGACACAGATGTGGCAGAGATGTTAGAATTACACTGAGAATTGAAAACAATTATGATTATTATGCTAAGGAGTCTAAAGGAAAATGTAGACAATGTGGAAGAACAGATACTGTAATTCTAAGAAACAATTCAAAAGAAATGCTAGAGATTAAAAACACTAACAGAAAAGAAGAATGCATTTGATGGGCTAATTAGTAGAATGGGCACAGCTGAGGAAAGAATTTCTGAGTTGGAAGATATGACAATGGAAATTTCCAAAACTGAAAAGCAAAAGAGAAAAGACTGAAAAAAAAAAAAAAACAGAACACAATATTCATGAACTATGGGACAGCTACAAAAATGTAACATATGCATAATAGAAATACAAGAAGCAGAATAGAGAACAGAACACAAGAAGTTTTTGAAAAAATAATGAAGAATAATGAGGAGAATTAATGTCACACATTAATTCAATAGATCCATGAAGCTCAGAGAACACCGAGAATGATACATGACAAAAAACTTACAGTTAGGCATAGAATATTCAAACTTCAGAAAATCAAGGATAAAGAAAAAATATTGAAAGAAGCCAGAGGAATAGAGCATCTTATCTATAGAGGAGCAAAGAAAAGAATTCCATCTTACTTCTCCACAGAAACCATGCAAACAAGAAGAGGGTGGAGTGAAATATGTAAAGAGTTGATAGAAAAAAAAAAAACCTAGAATTCTGTACTCTGCAACATTATCTTGAAAGGTGAAGAAGAAATAAAGACTTCCTCAGACAGTTAAAAATTGAGAGAATCTGTTGCCAGTAGACCTGTCTTGCAAGAAATCTTAAAAGATGTTCTTCAAAGAGAAGGAAAATGATACAGGTTAGAAACTCAGATCTACATAAAGAAAGGAAGAGCATTGGAGAAGGAATAAAATAAAATCTTTTATTTTTTTTTATTCCTAATTAATGGGTAACAGTACAGCAACAATGTATTCAATTATGTATGCTTATATATAAATATATGCTCATGTATGTTTATGTATCAGTGAAATCAATGGAAACAATGATACAAAGAATGGAAGTTAGCAATTAGGAATATTTTTAAGTAAAGAAAGGAAGTATAATTGATATGTTAGAAAGAAAAGTAAATTAAATCATATAAAATTTTCAATTAAAACAACAAAGGGCAAAAAAAAGAATGAATGAAGAAATTATTCTGTTTTTAATGTTGCGAGTTTTTGACTAAGTTGAAGTGTTTATAGTTACTTTTGAGGTTTTCCTTCCCTTTATCTTTTACTCTTGAGTATTTGCTTCCCTGTTCTGAGAGAGAGCTGCAGTTTTCTTATTTTGTCTGTCTATTTATCTCCTTGCTCAAAGCTTTGTAGGTCTTTGCCCTTTTGTTTGTGGTGTGAGGGCATCTTTAATTATTTCTTGTAGGGGAGGTTTAGTGGTGATGAATTCCCTCAGCTTTTGTTTACCTAGGAAAGCTTTCATTTCTCCGTCGTATCTGAAGGAAAGTTTCACTAGATAGAGTATTCTTTTATTTTTTTATTTTTATGTTTTATAATTTTATTTATTTATTTTCTCCCCCAAAGCCCCAGTAGACAGTTGTATGTCATAGCTACACATCCTTCTAGTTGATGTATGAGGGATGCGGCCTCACCATGGCTGGAGAAGCGGTGCGTCGGTGCGCACCCAGGATCCGAACTTGGGCCACCAGCAGCGGCGCGCAAGCACTTAACCGCTAAGCCACAGGGCCGGCCCAAGAGTATTCTTGGCTAAAAGTTTTTGTGTTTCATTATTTGAATATATTGTTCCATTCTCTCCTAGCCTGTAGGGTTTCTGCTAAGAGATCCACTGAAAGCCTAGGGGTTCCTTTGTAGGTTATTTTCTTCTGCCTTGCTGCCCTTAATATTTTTTCTTCATCATTGACTTTTGCCAGTTTTACTATTATATGCCTTGGAGAAGGTCTTTTAGCATTGATGTAATCAGGAGTTCTCTTAGCTTCATATATTTGTAAATCTGGTTCCTTCCCCAGGTTTGGGAAGTTCTCAGCTATTATTTCTTTGAACAAGCTCTCTGCTCCTTTCTCCCTCTTTTCTCCCTCTGGAATACCTATAATCCTTATGTTACTTTTCCTAATTGAGTTGGATATTTCTGGAAGAATTCTTTCATTTTTTTAAAATCTTATTTCTGTCTCCTCCTCCACCTGTAGCATTTCTATATTTTTACCCTCTAAATCACTAATACAATGAAATACTACTCAGCCATAAAAAAAATACAAAATTGTCCCATTTGCAACAACATGGATGGACCTTGAGAGTATGATGTTAAGTGAAATAAGGCAGACAGAGAAAGACAGATGCTGCATGATTTCACTCATATGTGGAAAGTAACAAATACGTGGATAAAGAGAAGAGATTAACAGTTACCAGAAGAGAATGGAGTCAAGTGGTGGGTGAAAGGGGTAAAGGGACACATATGTATTGGTGATGGACAATAATTAGACTACTGGGTGTGAGTATGCTGAAGTCTATTCAGAAATTGATAAATAATAATGTACACCTGAAATTACACAATGTTATAAACCATTATGATCTCAATAAAGTTACTGGAAAAAAAGAGTGGTGAGTGCAGGACAAAAGTAAGACCAAAGAACAAGGGAAATGAACAAAAAACAATATTAAATATGGTAAATATGGTAAATGTTAATACAAGTATATCAATAATCACTTTAAATGTTAATGGTCTAAATACAACAATTAGAAGATAGAAATTGTCAGAGTGGATCAAAAAGAAGACCCAAATATATGCACCTAACAACAGGACATCAAAATGTGCAAGAAAAAACCTGATAGAACTTCAAGGAGAAATAGAAAAATTCACTATTATAGTTGGAGACGTCAACATCCCTCTATCAGAAATGAACTGATCCAGAAGGCTGAAAACCACTGAGGGCATAGTTGAACTTGACAGCACCGTCAACCAACTGAATATAATTGACAACTATAGAGTACTTCATCCAGTAACAGCAGAATACACATTCATCTCAAACTCATATGAAACATTCACAATGATAGACCACATTCTAGGCCATAAAACACACCTTAAATAGTTTAAAATAATAGAAATCATACAATGTCTTCTTTCAATCACAATGGAATTAAACTATAAATCAATAACAGAACAACAGGTGGAAAATCCCCAAAATATTTGGCCTTTCATCAACATACTTTTAAATAATACATGCATCAAAGAAGAAATCTCAAGAGAAATCTTTTTGTGTGTGTGAGGAAGATCAGCCCAGAGCTAACATCCATGCCAATCCTCCTCTTTTTGCTGAGGAAGACTGAACCTGGGCTAACATCTGTGCCAATCTTCCTCCACTTTACATGGGATGCTGCCACAGCATGGCCTGACAAGCAGTTATTGGTGCACACCTGGGATCCGAACCTGGGCTGCCATCAGTGGAACATGTGCACTTAACCACTATGCCACAGGGCTGGACCCCAAGAGAAAATTTTTTAAAAACTTTAAATAAATGTATATGAAAATACAACTTACCAAAATTTGGGGGATGCAGTGAAAGCAGTGCTTAGAGGAAAATTTGTAGCATCAAATGAATATATTAAAAAGTAAAAAGATCTAAAATCAATAATCTAAGCTTCCACTTTAGGAAACTAGAAAAAGGAGAGCAAATTAAGTCCAAAGTAAATAGAAGAAAAATTATAAAAAATTAGAACAGAAACTAATGAAATTTAAAAAAGGAAATCAATAGAGTAAATGAACAAAATCAAAAACCGGTTCTTTGAAAAGATCACTAAAATCAATAAGCCTCCAGCAAGACTATGAAAAAAAAAGAAAGAAGACACAAATTACTAATATTAGAAATGAAAGATGGGACATAACTACAGATCCTATGAACATTAATAGGATAATAATAGAACATTATGAAAACCTCTATGGCTACAAATTTGATAACCTAGTTGAAATGGACAAATTCATTGAAAGACAAAATCTGCCAAAACTCATGTAAGAAGAGAGAGACAATCTGAATAGGTCTATATATATTAAAGAAATTTAAGCAATAATTAATAAGCTTCCAAAACACAAAACACCAGGCCCATGTGGGTTCATTGGTAAATTTTACCAAACATTTAAGGAAGGAATTACACCAATTCTCTATAATCTATTCCAGAGGGTAGAAACAGAGGGAATACTTCCTAACTCATTCTGTGAGGCCAGCATTGCCCTAATATCAAAACCAGAAAAAGGCATTACAACTGAATGAAACTACTGATCTATATCTCTCATAAATACAAATGCAAAAATCCTTCATAAAATATTAGTAAATTGAATCAACATTGTACAAAAAGAATTATGCACCATAACCAAGTAGAATTTTTTCCAGGTATGTAAGCCTGGTTCAACATTGGAAAATCAATTAATGTAATCCATCACATACTCTCAGTAAATATTGCTGGCATTTTCCCTCCAAGGCTGCATAGCCTGAGAAGTTAAGCATTTCACGTGACGTAGTGGTTAAGAAGACAACATTTGGAGGCAGATAGATCTATATTGAAATATTAATTCTATCATTTACTAGTCTTATGATTTTGGAGATGTTAGCTAACCTCCAGAAGCTTCAGTTATCTCATCTACAAAATAAGGGTAATAGTAATACCCACTCATCTAATGGGATTGTTGTAAAGAAAATGCATGGAAACCACTATATCAAGGAAATAGTAGGAATCCATAAATAATAGCTTAAATGGTAGATTATTACTATTACTGTTACATGAGGTTAGGTATCTTTTTATCATGGAAAAGTTGCCATCCAATAAAAACCCTAGTGTTAGAAAAACTTTGTACTAATAAGTAGCTTACTAATGCGTACAGTTATGAAAAAATCCAATTTTGAGTTTTATGGTAAATATAGGAAATATAATCTTTACCATTTTTATTCTTGAAATACAATTTCAGCATAGGACTAAGGTCCATTTCAAAGATCTATTTTCCCTACATGGTTTAGCAAAAGTTCCAGTTGTGTTCCCATTGCATTACTTGACAAGAATGAAGAAATATTATGAAGTTAAAAAATGTGTACATATAATAGAAAGAAAAAGTTTCCTAATCTTTTAAAAATCATGTCTTCTTTTGCTAAACATAATAATCTTGTATTTTTTTTATTATTACTCAAAATTTCAAAATGAATTAACTATAACTACCAAAACAATTAAATCAGTGAGTGGTGTGCAAGGATGTTTAGATAATGTGGCAGAAGGACAGTGGTGACTTTGTTGCCGTTTTCCTTATGATAATGTTTCTTTTATCTATGACTATATGGATTTGGAAAATAGACATTAGAGAGGCAAGGTAAAGCAAGTCTTAAGCATTTCTATTGTTATGACATAATTTATATAACATATAACAGGGAACTGGAATGGAACATGTGTTCTCTGCATCTTTACATTTTACACTACGAGAATTCTTGCAAGCTTGCTAAATATCTGTTAAAGAATAGAGAAATCCCACCTTTCTCTTCCTCAATTTCAATAAAAAAGAGCTATAATTAGATGTTATTTGATATTCTTGAGTATAACAATTAAAAGTAGATTACCAGATTGTGTCCAAGATCCTTGATTGTGGGCAAACTTGTAATTGTCAACCACTCCTAAGACTGATTGGAGTCCACAAACAAATTCAACAGTCAGGAGAAGAGACCTCAATATTAGAGGGCTAAGAAACCAGAGAGACCACATGTATACAGACAGCTCCTTCAACAAAGGAGCTAAGAACATACAATGGAGAAAGGAAACCCTCTTCAATAAATGGTGTCGGGAAAACTGGACAGCCACAAGCAAAAGAATGAAGGTAGATCATTATCTTTCACCATACACAAAAATTAACTCAAAATGTGTTAAAGACTTGAAGGTAAGACGTGAAACCATAAAACTCCTAAAAGAAAATATAGGCAGTACACTCTTTGACATTGGTCTTAAAAGGATCTTTTCGAATACCATATCTACTCAGGCAAGGGAAACAAAAGAAAAAATAAACAAATGGGACTTCATCAGACTAAAGAGCTTCTACAAGGCAGAGGAAGCCATGAACAAAATGAAAGACAACCTACCAACTGGGAAAAAATATTTGCAAATCAAATATCCGACAAGGAGATAATCTCCAAAATATATAAAGGACTCATACAATTCAACAACAAAAAAACAAACAACCCAATCAAAAAATGGGCAGAAGATATAAAGAGACATTTTTCCAAAGAAGATATACGGATGGCCAACAGGCACATGATGATGTTCAACATCACTAATCATCAGGGAAATGCAAATCAAAACTACAGTGAGATATTACCTTACACCTGTTAGAATGGCTATAATTACCAAGACAGAAAACAAATGTTAGAGAGGATGTGGAGAAAATGGAACCCTCATACACTGCTGGTGGGAATGCAAACTGGTGCATCTGCTATGGAAAACAGTATGGAGGTTTCTCAAAAAACTGAAAATTGAAATACTATATGACCCAGCTATTCCACTACTGGGTATTTATCCAAAGAACTTGAAATCAACAATTCAAAAAGACTTACACACCCTTATGTTCATTGCAGTGTTATTAACATAAGCCAAGACGTGGAAGCAAACCGAGTGCCCATTGACTGATGAATGGATCAAGAAGATATGGTATATATATATATATATATATATACACACAAAGGAATACTACTCAGCCATAAAAAAGACAAAATAGTCCCATTTGCCACAATATAGATGGAACTTGAGGATATCATGTTAAGTGAGATAAGCTAGACAGAGAAAGACCAACACTAAGATAAACAAATACATGGACAAAGAAAGCAGAGAGAAAAATATCTGATTACTTCAGGTTATGTTGACCTGGAAATTAAGGAATTTTCCTAAAAATTCTCATGACCAAGGTCTATCTTTTAGTGATTTGAATGTTTTACTTGCTATCCTACAAAAAGAACACATTAATTAATTAGATGACTGGAAATGAGACTGAAAGCCTCTCTTGATTTTTGGCCAAAAAATTCCATGAAACAAATGACAATGTTGAATATCATTTTTCAATCTATATTTCCACCTCCATAAAGATTGGTATTGCTTCCTGTTCTATCTCCCTAACCTCACACCATACCCAGAGGAATGAGCACAGCCTAGTTATTAAGAGTATCTGCTTTGGAGCTAGAAAGATTGAGATATAAGTGTTTGATCTGCAGCTTCCTACCTTAGAGACCCTGGGAATTCATTTAGGATCTATGAACTTCGGTTTCATGTATACAACGGAGATGTTACCGGATACATACCCAGGTCCTTTACCCGCCACACAAGAGGGGCCAAATAAAACTAGAACACCAGGCTTATGGCAAGGAGTTTTTATTTTGGGTGACGTCAGCCGGGAGACGAGAGCTCTCAAATTTGTCCCGTCTCCCCGAAAGATGGGAAGTAAGGAGTTTTAAAGGTTGTGTGGGACAGCATGTGCTGGGGTTTTAGGTAAGGGAAGGGGAGCATGTGGATGTGCTGGCTGGCACCTTCCCACCAGCTTGCATTTGAACTTGAAGACTGAAATTCTTTCCCTTGACTGTCTGGAATTTTCTGGTTAGTTTTCATCTTCAGCCTGCATTTGGCCTTAGGAGGCTGAATCTTGATGTCTGGACCTTAGCTTCCTGGGAAAGACAGCTCACTCATATACTAAGGAGGGACAGAAAGACCTGGTTAGTTTTAAACAACGGTTGATTATGCTGAATATGCACAGCTGCAGTTAGAAAAGCTTATCTCAAAGTTTTTGCTAACTTCTTCTAGCCCAGGGGAGATTTTTTAACCTCTTCGTGCTTGGTTTCAAAGATTGTAATAGTATTACCTTACAGGATTAAATGAGATGATGCATTGTAAATACGCAATAAATTATGGGTATTCTTGCATAATTTAAAGTGTATAAGCCTTCTCTACTCATAGAAACAAAGAGAAAATTTCATTATGAAAAGCAGAAAACACTATAAATCACATGAAATGCAGATTCAATATGATGGTTGATGGAAACAAAACTGGTGAAAATGGGTCATATATTAATCTTCATAAAAATTCTTCAGTTTGGTTTATTTCTCTCCATTTAAAAAGTAATAGTATTCACCATGATAATTTGGAAAGAATATAAAAAGATTAGTCACTAGCTTCTAAACACTTTTGAGTATAAACCCACATTTTCCACTTTTTTCCACTACATGACACTAATGGGTAAAATAGAATAATGATTTTGCCAATATTTCCTAAACCGCAGCATGCATCCAGATTATTTTTTTATATTGGGTCAAATCTCAGAAGCACAAAGAGAGAGAGAGCATGCATAGTGTTAAGGTACAATCAAATGAGTTAAATCTGCAAAATTTGAAGCAGCAATGAAGAAAATGTCTGCTTAATATACATTAGGAAAGGAATAAAAATATCTTGGGCAGTGTATTTGTGGATTTTCAATTGAGCATACAGCAACAAACTCATAACCTCAAAATTTCTTGAATATGTGTTTCAAATATATGTTTGAAAATAGATTACCAGGTAATAATTTAATGATCCAACATGTTTCTCTTTATAATTTTCCTGCAAGAATGCTCAGAGCAAAATTTAATAGCAGTAACTATCGTCATTCCATTTTTCTGTATTCTTTTTGATATCTCTTCTAAGATATTTTGTAACATTCAATGTTTGTGTACTTTCATTTTAAGCCATTTTCAATTATTATTGGAAGTGCTTGGAGTAGAAATTATAGGTTTAATATAATATATTGCAATTATTCATAAAAATTAAAAAAAGGATTACTATGTAAAATAAGTCAAACTCAAAATACCAGGAAGACACTTTTCCTAGATGTCAGTTTGGAGCTAGATATACAATATAGAGGACAGAAAAGTAGTAGAGAAAGTGGAAATTGTGTGTAGCAAAAATTTGGAAACTAATTTAGCTGCAAAGGCTGGCCTTATCAAGAGCAAGTCAATAGTGTTATATCAGAGAGGAGCCAATCTGCTAAACAGGGTCCAGCCATGAGATGTGGCAAGGAGCAGGCAACAACACAATGGGGTAGGGATATATCCTGTGTATGGGAGGGTTCCCAATGTCCCTACAGGAAATCTTTTCAACTAATAAATAGCATGGGAGATGAGGAATAGGATTCACCCCCTCAGTCAAGGAAAGCATTAGCCCAGGCTAGACTGTGTGTAAAGAAACTTCATAAAGATAGGTTCCTAAGAAAGTTTCATGTCCTAGAAGGAAATTAGAATGCTCAACAAGGCAAACTACACAGTTGGTTTCAAAACAAACCCCAATTGTATGGACTGAAGAAACATTGGACACAGGTTATGCTGTGATTTGGTTGCTGATAGAGTGCCTGGGACTCTGCCCTTACCAACTTAGAGCCTGCATAACATCATGACCACTTTAAACCCTACTAAATATTGGATCTGAGGCTATTTAGATACTTTCTGACTCCATTGAAATAAACTTAGATACTGTGATGTCTGTCAGGTAAGTGAGGTATTTCAGTAAAGCAAGTCTTTGGGTTATTAGATAGGTTAAAAGAAGAGGAAATTATTCAAGGAAAGGCAATAATGTCCTTTGATCCTTTGATCTCAATCCTGTGAATATGCCCCAAGGAAATAATCCAAAGGTAGGAAAACAAGGAAAAGAAAGAGGAGGAAGAGAAGGAATGGCAGAATGAGAAAAAGTCAAGAGGTAGATCAAAGGAGAACAGTTTGTACAAAGGAAATTGTTAGGAAGTTGACTACAGTAGTGAAAATCAGAAACAAACTTAAATGACAAAGAAGAGAGAAATTTTCTGCTCAGGGAACTATTTCACATTAATTCAACATATTACCATGCAGTCATAAAAAATTAAGTTTGAAAATAGTATAAATATAGGGAAATGTGGAATATGTTAAGTGGGAAAAATAGATTGTTAAATCATATGTTCACTATGCCTACAGGAACATTAAAATGAATGGATATGGTCAAAGATTAAAAGAAAATATACACTATGTATCAGTGGAAATTGTTGAGCATGACAGCTTTCTGAGGCAGCAGTAGTAGTTGGGGCAAAAAAAGAGACTGACCAAAAAGCTTAAAAGAAAAAGCTTGAGAATGAGACTTCAATAGGGTCTTTGAATAGCTCCAACATATCCTGGGATTCTGGAATGCCATGTACATGCCCCCAAATGTGTGCATGCTCGTGATCGACCTGAGAAGGCCTTAAGCTCTCGCCCATGGATGACTGATAATTTTGAGACTCTACACAAGAAAGTAATGAGAGATAAGGAAGAGTTGTCAACTGCCTGGCTAATTGTTCAAGGCATGCACTGATACAGACAGAGAGTGCCTTGGCAAAGACTGGGATACCTATTATTTCCAGAAGCTTAAGGAAATCTCTGTCCAATCATTAGCCAAGCACTAAGCAAACCATGAAGAAACCTGAGTGGCTGCATATGACAAGGAATAAAGACTTTACAGAATTAGTACAGGAAGATCACTAAACAAATAAACAGCAACATCGGCAACAACAGCTACTAACAACAATGACAAATCCTGGGGAAAAGAGGAAATTTGTTTATCAGAGTTGCCACAATATACTATTTAAAATGTCCATTTTTCAATAAAAAATGAAACATATGAAGAACCAGGAAAGTAAGACTCATTCATGGGGGGAAAAGCAATTAATAGAATTTATCTGTGAGGAAGCACAGACACTGGAATTACTAGACAAAGATTTTTAATCAGCTGTTATAAAATGTTCAAAGAACTACAGTAAATTGGGTCTTAAAAATATAAGAAATTATAAGAATGATATATCACCAAATAAAGAATATCAGTAAGGAGACAGAAATTATAAAAAAAGAACCAAATGGAAATTGTGTAGCAGAAAAGTACAATAACTGAAATGAAAAATTTACTAGAGGGTCTCAACAGCAGATTTGAGCAGAGAGAAGAAAGAATCAGTGAACTTGAAGATAGGTTAATTGATATTATTCAATGGAGGAACAGAAAGGAAAAAGAATGAAGAAAAATAAGCACAGCCTAAGAGACTTGTGAGATACCATCAAGTATACCAAAGATTGCATAGTAGGAGTACCAGAAGGAGAAGAGAGAGAAAGAAAAAGGTAAAAAGAATATTTGAAGTAATAATGACCAAAAACTTTCCAAATTTGATAAAAACATTAATCTACCCATCCTATAAACTCAGCAAACTCTGAGAAGGATAACATCAGAGATCCACACTGACACATATCATAATTAAACTACCAAAAAACAAAAAGAAAGAGACAATCTTGAAAGCAGCAAGAAAGCCATGACTCTTCAAATACAAGGGATCTTAAAATAAGATTAAGATCTGATTTCTTACAAGAAACCAAGGATGGCAGAAAGCAGATGAATGAACATTTAAAGTACTAAAACTCAAAACTATCAACAAAGAATACTATCTCCAGCAAAAACTTCAAAAGTAAAGAAGAAATTAAGATCTAGCCAGAAAAAAAAAAAAAAAAAAAACAGAGAATATGTCACTAGCCGACCTGCCTCTGCAATAAGTACTAAAAAAAGTCCTCTGGCTTAAATAAAAAGATACTAGACAGTAGCTCAAATCCACACAAAGAGGGGCCGGCTTGATGGTGCAGTGGTTAAGTTTGCGCGCTCCACTTTGGTGGCCAGGGTTTTCAGGTTCGGATCCCAGGTGCAGACCGAAGCACTGCTTATCAAGCCATGCTGTGGTGGCATCTCATATAAAGTAGAGGAAGATGGACATGGATATTAGCCCAGGGCCAATCTTCCTCAGCAGAAAGAGGAGGATTGGCAACAGATGTTATCTCCAGGCTAATCTTCTTCACACACACACACAAAAATCCACACAAAGATATAAAGAACATTGATAAAGGAAAATACATAGGTAAATAAAAATAACAGTACAAATTTGTTTTTTGTTTATAAGTCTTTTGTACTCCTATGTGATTAAAAAGAAAATTACATAAGACAAAAATATGACTCTGTGCTGACTAGGTTATAATATTAAATGACAATTTGTATGAAATAACAGTACAAAGAAGGAGAGAGAATAGAGCTATTTTAAGCAAAGTTTTTGTATACTATCAAAATTAACTTGGTATTAATCTGTTTAAAGATTTTATTTATTTATTTTTTTTCCCCCCAAAGCCCCAGTAGATAGTTGTGTGTCATAGTTGCACAGCCTTCTAGTTGCTGTATGTGGGACGCGGCCTCAGCATGGCCGGAGAAGCAGTGCGTCGGTGCGAGCCCGGGATCCGAACCCGGGTCGCCAGCAGCGGAGCGCGCTCACCTAACCACCAAGCCACGGGGCCGGCCCAACTTGGTATTAATCTGAACTAGATTGTGATAAGTTAATATGTTAATTATAACCTCCTGGATAACCACTAAGAAAATACCTTTAAAAATATAGTAAAAAAATTGGCAAAAGTATTAAAATATTACATCAGAAAATACCTAGTTAGCAGAAAAGAAGACAGTAACATAGGAATAGAGGAATAATTTAAGAAATAAGACATGTAGAAAACAAAATGGTAAATATAAATGCTACCTTATGGGTAATTATATTAAATGTACGTAAATTAACATACCAGTCAAATTGCACAGATTGGCCCAATGGATTAAAAAATATAACCCAACTATACTGTCTATAAGAGACATACCTTCAATTCAGAGAAACAAATAGTTTGAAAATAAAAGGATAAAATAATATATACCATGTAAACAGTAACCAAAAAAGAACTGGAGTGGCTATACTTATATCTGACAAAATAGTCTTTAAGGACAAAAGTTATTACTGAAGAGAAAGAAGGACATTTTATAATAATAAAATGGTCAATCTACCAGGAATATGTAGCAATTATAAGTATACATACACCTAACAACAGAGTCTCAAAATACATGAAGGAAAAATGAATAAAAAAACAAATAGACAATTCAACAATAGTAGTTGGATATATCCATACTGTACTTTTAATAAAGATAAAACAAGTAGTCAGAATATCAACAAGTAAATAGAAGATTTGAACAACACTATAAGCCAACTAGGCCTAATAGACATCTACAGATCACTCTATCCAACAGCAGAAGAATATACATGAATTCCCAAGTACACATGGAGTCTCCAAGATTAGTCATATGTTAGTCCATAAAACAAGGCTCAATGAATTTAAGAGCTTTTAAATAATACAAAATATGTTCTCTGTCAACAACTTAATGACATTAGAAATCAATAACAGGAGGAAATTTGAGACATTCACAAATATGTGAAAATTAAACAACATACTCCTAAATAGGCAATGGCTTGAAGAAGGAATCACAAAGGGAGTTAGAAAATATTTTTAGATGAATGTAAACAAAAACACAAGGAATATAAAATACAGTGAAATATAATGCTTAGAAGAAAATTTTTATCTTCAATTGCTCATATTCAAAAAAGAAGAAAGATCTCAAATCAATATCTTAACGTTCCACCTTAAGAAATTGAAAGAAAAACAATCTAAACCCCAAGTCAAAAGAAGGAGGAAATAATAAAGATTAGAGTAGAAATAAATGAAATAAAGAATAGAAAAATAGAGAAAAATCAACAAAAGTTAGTTCTTTGAAAAGATCGATAAAATTGGCAAAACTTTAGCTACACTGATGGAGAAAAAGAGTGAAGATTCAAATTACTAAAATCAGGAATAAAAGAGAGGACATTACTACTGACGTTACAGAAATAAAAAGGATTATATATGTTTGGGTCAGGGCAATTTGATAATGAAAAGAAAAGCATGCAAATTGGAAAATAAGCAAAACTATTTCTATTTGCAGATGATAGGATGTTGTATATAGAATATCTTAAGGAGTCTACCAAAAATTTAGAATGAATAAACAAGTTCAACAAGGTTGTAGTATACAAGATCAATGCTGAAAAAATCAATGTGTTTCTATACACTAGCAATGAACAATCTGAAAATGAAATTAAAAACAATATTTCACTTATAACTGCATGAAAAAAATAAAATAACTAGGAATAAATTCAACAAAAAATTGCAAAACATGTACACTGAAAACTACAAAAAACTGTTGAAAGGAATTAAAGAAAACCTAAAATAATAAAAAGACATCCCTTGTCCATGGATTGGAAGACTTAATGCTGTTAACACGGCAATACTCAATGAATTGGAAACCAAGCCATATTGAAATCCCAGTTGGCTTTTTTGTTTGTTTGTTTTTTTGCAGAAATTGACAAGATGATCCTTGGATTCATATGAAAATGCAAGGGAACCAGAATAGCCAAAACAAACTTGAACAAGCATGTGCTACAAAATTAAAGCAATCAGGACCGTATCGAACTGGCATAAGGATAGACACATAGATCAACGAAATACAATTAAGAGTCTAAAAAAAAGTCCCTTACATTTATGGTTCATTGATTTTTGACATGTGTCAGGTCAATTTAATTGGAGAAGAATAGTCTTTTTAGCAAATGGTTCTGTACCAACTGGATATTCATATGCAAAAGATGAAGCTGGACACCTACTTCACACCATAAACAAAAACTTATTCCAAATGGATCATAGACCTAAATATAAGAGCTAAAATGATAAAACACTTGGAAAAAATCATAGACGTAAAACTTTGTGACCTTGGATTAAGCAAAGTCTTCTTAGATATGACACACAAAGCACAAGCAACCAAAGAAAAATATATAAATTGGATTGGATAAAAAATATATAAATTGTATTAATTAAAATTAAATAATTTTGTGCACCAAAGGACATGATCAATAAGGTGAAAAGATAACCCACAGATTGGAAGAAAATATTTACAAATAATATATCTCATAAGGGTCTAGTATCCAGAGTATATAAAGAACTATTACTACTCAAAAATAAAAAGGCAATTAACCCATTTTTAAACTGGGCAAAGGATCTGAATAGACATTTTTCCAAAGAGGATACACAGAAGGCCAATAAGCACATGAAAAGATGCTCAATATAATTAATCAGAGAAATGGAAATTAAAAAGACAATGAGATTGCACTTCACACCCACTACGATGGCTACAATAAAAAAAATTAACAGTAACAAGTGTTGGTGAGGAAGTGGAGAAATTGAAACCCTCATATATTGCTAGTGGGAATGTAATATGGTAGAGCCTCTGTGGGAAATAGCTTGGCATTTCTTCAAAAGGTAAACATAGAAGTTACCATAAAAAAACTGTTAGAACTAATAAACAAATTCAGTAAAGTTTTAGGATACAAAAATCAGTTGAGTTTCTATACACTAATAATAAACTATCAGAAAGAGAAATTAAGGAAACAATACCATTTACAATTGCATCAAAAAGAATAAAATATCTAGGAATAAATTTAACCAAGGAGGTGAAAGACCTATACACTAAAAACTATAAGACATTGCTGAAAGAAATTGAACAAGACACAAATAAATGGAAAGATATTCCATGCTCATGAATTGGAAGAATTAATATTGTTAAAAATTCCATACAATCCAAAGCAATCTACAGATTCAATGCAATCCCTATCAAAATTCCAATGGCATTTTTCACAGATTTAGAGAAAAACCAATACTAAAATTTGTCTGGAACCACAAAAAACCCAGAATAGCCAAAGCAATGTGAGAAAGATCAAAGCTGGAGACATCCTACTCCCTGATTTCAAACTATATTAAAAAGCTATAGTAATCAAAACTGTATGATTTTGGCATAAAAATCGATATACATATAGATCAATGGAACAAAAGAGATAGCCCAGAAATAAACCCACACATATGTGGTCAATTATTTATGACAAAGGAGACAGGAACTTATAATGAAGAAAGGACAATCTCTTCAACAAATGGTGCTGGGAAAACTGGACAGAGACATTGAAAAGAATGAAACTGGACTGCTATGTTATACCATATAAAAAAATTAACTCAAAGTGGATTAAAGACGTCAATGTGACATGAAACCATA